ACGTCTTATCAAAGGGCCACTGTAGGCCTACATGACGTGTCAAGTCCATGCTACATAATGTATGAAATAATATCAAAAGCAAGAAAAGAAAAAAAAACAGACCAAAATATTCAGTCACCATGGAAAATAGGTATGCAAAAAAAGCTGTGAAAACACATTAGGTCTTCTTTCTTTTTACATTTTACAAGTTAGTATTTACGTTATCTCATATAAAATGTTTATTATTCTCAGTACAGTCGAGACTGTCCAAGACGACCATCCCTGGGGAGTAGAAATTTCATCTTTCTGGACAAGTGATCATTTTGGACAGTGTCATAGTAAAAATAGTTCTTTACCCTATCCGTACGTCGTGTTTTACTATCGTATCCATACGACGTGGGGAACTCTGTGCACCACTTTACAAAGAGGAAATTTTACTTGTTGATCCGATCCGTACGCTTTGCAGTCTGTTAAAATGCTTTTTGAAAAATATTGAAAGTTTTAAAGAGATCTTCGTACTTGAAGTATTCTAAAATGTGAAGAATACAACCGCGGGGGTACAAAATGACCCCAGGGCGTATGGATAGGGTTAACCAAACGGAAGTATGAAAACGGGTAGAGATCGTTTGTACAGCTGTTTGTCTCTGGCATGTGGTCGTTAAAGCAGGTTTGTGGCGACTAACCTTGTGTGTTGTTATGTGTAGTACGTGTGTTGTTATGTGTAGTACGTGAATTCATGAGTGAGAGTACAGGGAAAGTCGCCAACCTGTTCGAGTGAATGTACGAATGTTATGTCTCGTCCAGGGGCCTTATGTGTGTGTATCTCTCTTCATGTGACAACAGGTTTATGCTCGCTGTCTTTCTACGCGTTCTAATAATTTACTGAACGAAAGGACACGTATGCTACAGGTTCCACTATAATACTTGATAAAGTCAAAATACGAGCGGTGAATTTGTTCTGGGAGTAACTGATTGTCAATGTTTATCGCCTCCATAGAACCAAGAATCATTTTACATAATTCAGGAGGCGGGCTACTTTCATCTTCCGAGACAGGACCAACCCAGAATGAGAGTGAGGGATACATTATCCAAGCCAAAAGACGGAGAAAATCGATACAATGCTGAGCTGAGCGGGAATCAGACTCGCATTGGGGTTTTTTTTGCGTGCAGAGGCAAAGAGCCTATACCAGTCACATTAACGAGCATTGTTTAAAACCTGGATACATTTGTGCGGCAGCGTGGTGGAATCAGGCTCTCGTCAAAATAATAAAAGTGAAGGAACTTACATTTTTCCGCAGGTTTGTGCATTTTTATCAAATTTAGGATTTTTGGCTCAACACCTTTCATGACCATTAAAGAACACATTTTTGTGTGGATTTTTCTGAAAAGCGTTGATTAAAGGCACAAAAATGTAAATTTCCAGTTATTACGGACTCTTAAGCTAAGGAAATAACAAATCTTTGGTGGCCGTTTTCTCACTAATTTTAACTCTGAAAACAGGTGACCCCGACCTCATTTTTTCGTAAATATCTCGACTTGTATTCAAGATAAATGGACATTTTTTCCCATCCAAATAGAGGCAAGTGAACAAGCTTTCAGGTGATACCAATAAGTGGATAACTCTGCATGCCCAAAAATTGACGAAAGCCTGATTCCACCGCGCTGCCTCACATTTACTATAAAACAATGGAAATGCCATTAACAGTAAAAATAAGACAATGGAAAAGGAAACAAATTGGTTAACAAAGGAAAACCTCAAACAAAAATCACACAGACAGCAATAATATATTATCCAAAAACAAACAAACAAACAAAAACAAAACAATAGTTGAATAGATGATGATGATGATGATGATGATGATGATGATGATGATGATGATGATGATGATAAAGCAATGAGGGTAATGGTAGTAATAATGATAGAAATAATAATAATAACAAAAACAACAACAACAACAACAACAACAACAACAACAACAACAACAACAACATCAGTACAACAACAACAACAGCAACATCAATGATAGCAGCAATAACACAAGTAAAAATCAGATCACAAAAATAGTGAAACATTTGTTTTAATCAGATCTTATCAGATCTTTTATTGTCTGAATACCTCAGTAGGCCTATATATACAATATACTGTGCTGACAAAATGAGTTACTTCTCACGATCCAAGAATGGAGACATCGGCTGAAAATCCACACTGGGGTCAGATTTATAGATGTTCAATTGATGCCATTTTGTTCAAGTTCACTGTGTCTTTTACTATTCCATACTCACAAATTGTACAAACTTCACCTATCAAGTTGATGTATCAATTTCCATAATGCTCAAATCCGAGAAGTAACTCATTTTGTCAGCACAACTCACACACACACACACACACACACACACACACACACACACACACACACACACACACACACACACACACACACACACACGCACACACACACACATATATATATATATATATATATATATATATATATATATATATATATATATACATGAGGTATTCAGGCAAGGGAAAACAAGAAGGATAAAGATGAAATCACTGAGAGTGTCTACCAAAAGGACAACATTCAATGATTCAAGAACTAGCACCGGATGAGTATTTCTTTTCTTCTCATTCTCTTCTACCTTTTCTGTGGTGCTTGAATATGTCGTAGTATGTAAACAAAAGCCAATTCCATCTAGATCTAGATCAGATAGCAGAAAAGATCAAAGTATAATCTTTACATAATGTAAACGTAACATTTATAATATATGAGTACATATTAAGAAAACTGTTCAAAGTCAAGTTACACGTCAGTCTTTGGTACAAGAGAGAGAGAGAGAGAGAGGAGAAAAGTTGTCGACAAACTGAAAGTATATAATAAAAAATATGTATAATAACACGGTGATGGTATTGTCAACACCCATGTGTCAACATAATAATGAAAAATATTATGGGTATCAACCCTACTTATCTTCTCCTTTTGAAACTAAATGTTATAATTACTAATAATAATTTACATAGAGTATATCCACGGTGTACAGCATGCTCTGTGCGCTTTATACAGCTACGTTTGTATAATTATCTGTACTAACATATGCCTACTGATTATAGAAGGTCTACAATTGGAAATAACCTACATTGGCCTGAACGATGCTCCTGACTTGCGGAACTAAAAAAACATCTTTGCCACATAAAGCTATCTCCTCTCTGCTAAAACCTTATAATAAGATGAATATTAACCCCTCTCAAACCCCCCCCCCCCCCCCCCGAAGAAAAATTAAAAAATTAAAAATAAATAAATATAAACTACAAAAAACAAACAGACAAACAAACCAAACAAACACAAAAACCTAATTGGTTTACTTCATCAAATAATGCCTCACTTGATGTGGTTCTTTATGTAAGCACTGTTACGCCAACACTCTTTCACTTAAACTGAAGAGATGCACTTTCTTTACTTCAACTGTTGAAGTCACTGACCTACAATATGCGATGTAGGTTACTTCAAAGGTGAAGCAATCACCACCCAGCACAACGTGCCTACATTAAAAAAATTCGATGGCAACAAGGCTAGAGAGGGCGACCGAGAAAGACCTGGATAGATGGAGTCAGGGAAACATTAACCACCCACGGCATCCCCCCGACCCAAGCTCTCTGGCTGGCGACAGAGAGACAGACGTCTCTTTCTTCCCGCGACACCCAAAATGGTATAAATAGCGGAAAAAGTAAAAAGTAAAGTAAAGATCAATCACTCCCTCGTCAGGACACCATGATGGGCCTACCGTACTTTGAGTAAAGAGAAGCACATTGACACATTAACGGCAATTTAATGAATGTTAAAAGAAATAAGACCGAAACAGATAGATAGAAGGAACAAAAAGAAAATAAGAAGGCGTTCCAATCAGTGGCGCCCTCCAACGACACATTGAGATGAAATATTCAAGGCAGAGTATCTGACAGCAGCAGGCACTTAAAGAGTCAATGTTCACTGTACACGTTCAAGAAGCTGAACTTGGAAAAACAAAACAAAAAAATCAACAACCCGAAAAAGGTGGAGAAACCTTAGCTTTAAAAGAGGAACGTTTTTTTGTGTTGATACTCAGGCTCCACCTTTTTGTGACTGTTCATCTCTTGTTCATCTCTCCAGGAATGTGGCGGACACACATAGTCTAGTGTCGTGGCCGATCCGCCGGAGACCAAAGGCAATGGTGCCGCACATTTCGGACCATCAAAGAAAAAAAAGAGAAACACAAATTTGCATACAATACCTACAGTTGTTGCCTGTTTTTTTAGGTTTGAGATAGAGCCTCCCCCTCCCCCAACACACACACACACACACACACACACACATACACACACACACACACACACACATACACACACACACACATACACACACACACACACACACACAAAACAACAAACCACAACAGAACGGAAAAATCTGATGAATAACGAAATAATGCCCTCAGTTAG